TTTGTTCTTCTTTGTTCTTCTCCTTATGCTCTTATGGAACCATTCACTCTGCTTTGCTTTCACAGTCGTTGCTTTAGGTAGCACAGCTGGAAATAGAATGCTGTGCTAGTTAAAGGGACCTCTGGTTTGATCCACCAAGTCCCTTGGGTTCTTATAAAGATAATAGTTCTGACCTATAATTCCACAGTGTCAGAGCTGTGGATTTTGACAGTGTAGATTCTCGTGTTGATATATAATATAATGCCTTGCCTTGGTTTCTAGACCTTCTATACTTACAATATTCCCCCCCCCCCATTAGATAAAATGCTGTGAAAACAGATGCATATACTTTTTATCATGTTGCAAAACCATTCTATCTCTATTACACAGAGAGAGAAGTTGCTGTTTTACTGGCAGTTTTAGGAACATATATAATCTTATTGTACAGCCATATTCAATAACTGTCTCACAAGATTCTATTTATAGTCCATTATTACTTTCCAGGCACCTAATAACAAGATGAAATTCCTATTAAGGTACTCTGTATTCTGTTTAATTCTAGTATGCAAAGCAAGGTTTCTCCTGAAATATTTTCCTCTGGTGCCTGTGAAATAGTTAAAAAATGTTGGGTGATAGCAAAAAAAGCCAATTACTTTTGAGCATCAGAATGTTACTCTTTGATTTCTTAAAAAGTCATACCTTGGTTGTTGAACGCCTTGGTACTCGTATGTTTCGGCTCCTGAACGATTGAAAACCCAGAAGTGAGTGTTCCGGTTTTCTAACTTTTTTTGGGTAGCCGAACATCCGATGCTTCCTGCAGCCAATCAGAAGCCATCCTTTGGTTTCCAAACATTTTGGAAGTCGAATGGACTTCCAGAACGGATTCCATTCAACTTCCAACGTACGACTGTATTATAAAAGTCATTTCTGCTGTCTTCTGAGTTGGTTTCATCCATCTTCCCAAATGTTCTTACATATCAAACAGATATAAACAATTATTCATGGTGTCTCATTGACATCCCAGTTAAACTTGAACAATTTGATTAAACATGTTTTGTTTCGTCCCATTGCAGCTAACATGACAGCATATGTTCAAATCCATAAACTTTAGCTTAAATCAAGGATCTTTAGGAACCATTGATATTTTGGTCCCATATTTATTTCAGCCATCCTGCTATAATTATTTAGGAAGGTTCATATTGAAAATCTGTTCCTTCTGAAAGAAAGGGAGAAAGATTTCCGATTATATATGTTTGCTGATGTGCCTGTATACTTGATAAGCATGTTATTACGGGGGAGGAGAGGCATTTTGATCCTGGTAGTTAGTGAGGCCGCAGTTCAACTTTCTGCAAATGTTAAGCATTTATTACAGTTTCATCAGTGTTTGTACCCCCTTCAAAGTCTACCAACAGTCCACTTATAGCTGCTTAAAATTGAAATCTAATATCTGAAAGAATAGGCAGAGCTCTTTAGGTACTAGACATTTCAGTAGAGTATTGATAAAGAGAGAACCGTACCGTAATCCATGTCTTTCATTTATAAGTGAAGCATAAAAACTAGGCCATTTCCAGTCATTTTTAAATGAGTGTCATATTAGACTATGTGGGTTATTTTCTCTCTTAAGTCATCAAACATTTACAATTGGACTGGCTTCTTTTTCAAGCAGGAAGGGTTGTTGATAGCAGATATGTCAATGTCTTCTTTGTAAATCAGCTTAGATAGCTGGCTTGTGGCAGGTTTCTTTGCTAATAAAGGCCTTTTTTTAGAATACATTCTTTCTGCCATTGATTTGCTTTGTGTATATCAAAAAGGGTGATACTTAAATATAGGCAGTTGTAAAATACATTATCAACTCAGGCACATGTTTGACTTCCAAGTACCTCAAAGTACTCTACATTTTTTATTTTAATTAAACAATAGGCATTGGTGTAATATGCCAGGTCTTCTTTCAGTGCCAACTCAGTGCTGCTGTCAACATCGTTTTGCATTGATGTGGCAAAGCCGATAGATGTGAACCACTAGAATCCTCTAAAAATGGAATTTGAGACTGTATAGCACCAACCAACCACATACTGCTATAATCTGTGGTGCTTATGAAATGCATCAGTCGTTTTTCAGTTCCATTCATAAGCAGCTTTCAGAGGTGCCCTTGAGAGCAAAGACACATTTTGTAGCACAGATTTAATGCACAGATAGCTAACTAGTAGCATGAGAGGTAGATCTAGTCCCAAGGTAAGTTTATCTGTTTTTTTCCAAATTTTAATCAATTCATCTGGAAGGAAAAGAAGAATACTTAATATAAATTTGGGGTGGAATTCAAAGGAGCACTAAGGAGACGACTCCATCATTGCAAATGTTTCTGCTTGCCATACAATCTCGCCCTCTTCCACCACTTATTGTTCTGGGCATTCTCACAACCCCCTAGACCTCTGCAAGGGGAGAAGAGCAGGAAAGCCCTTTTGCACTAGTGGGACTCGTACTGCTTCCAGCTGTAGTTGAATCTGTGCATTAGTCTGGAAAGTGCAATACAGTGGTACCTCGGGTTACATACGCTTCAGGTTACAGACTCCGCTAACCCAGAAATAGTACCTCGGGTTAAGAACTTTGCTTCAGGATGAGAACAGAAATTGTGCTCTGGTGGCTCGGCGGCAGCGGGAGGCCCCATTAGCTAAAGTGGTGCTTCAGGTTAAGAACAGTTTCAGGTTAAGAACGGACCTCCCGAACGAATTAAGTACTTAACCCGAGGTACCACTGTCCATTTTCAAACGTAATCTGTTCTGGAACACCATTCAAGTTCCAAAACATTCGAAAACCGAAAACTCAATACAGAAGCCTCAAAACGGAAAACTCAGTACTGAAAACTCAGTACAGAAGCCGCGCTTCATGTTCAACTTCTGAGGCGAGTTCAAAAACGGAAGCATTTGCTTCTGGGTTTACAGCGTTCAAAAACCGAAATGTTCATCAACGGAGACGTTCGAAAACCGAGGAACCACTGTATATAGTGCTTTTAATGGTTTTATCCCATTCACTCCCCACTACTACTGCAGCCTCCTCCACTACCACTTCATCCTTTAGTCTAGCATTCTGTTCCCAAACTGGGTGACCAAATGCCTATGGGAAGCTCATAAGCAGGATGTGAGTCTAACAGCCCTCTCCCTACATGTGATTTCCAGCAACTGGTATTTAGAGGCATAGAGTCTCAGACACTGGAGGGGGAACACAGCTAGAGGAGGCAGTAGTAGTCCTGTGAAGAAGCCAGCAAAGACTCTGAACCAGTCTCTGCTTGTTGTGAAGGCACTCTTGCAGCTTGCAGCATGGCTGAAGTATGTGCTTTCCTATTGCATCCATTTGTAGCCTGAATTTATTGCTTTCTTACAACCCTGCATGGTGCAGCTGAGTGCTGGATGAGAACTGGGGCCAGTCACTATCCGAGAATGATAAACTAGGATGGGGGAGAGCTCTGCACTCTGCCCTGAGGTCCTTAGAGGAACAGCAAGATATAAATGTTAGAAATAATAAATCCCAAACCCCTTAAGCTCCCTTTATTATTCTGGAGTTATTTTCAAGAACTTTCTGTTCCACCATTGGGTAAACACTGTAAAGCAGAGATGGAAATGAGCTGAGGAAGTATTATCTCATGCCATTGCTCTTCTAAAAGCAACTCCCAGCTTGAACTCATCCATACTAAAGGGTTACATAATTATTATTTTCTCGGAGGAGTGATTAATTTTAACGTTTTTTGTTGCTGCAAGATAGAGCTAAAAGGACAGAATTTAAACTAATTTTTGAAGTCATATATTTTCGGCTTGCATTACCATTTCATTCACCTTTTAGAGGATTGTGCATTAATCATACACCTTATACATAACATTTCCCCTTCTTGAATATATGTATCTGACTGCTGCTTGTAAAGTATTTGCAGTTAACAAGACAAAGGGGCCCGGTGCTCCCTGTTCAGTGCCGCACAGTTGCTTTGTCCAGTGCACTTATATATCCAGGTATTGTATGCTATGATTATTCCAAACTGGAATATGCCATAAATTGTGGGCTTTAATTTCCCTTCATTTCCTCCCTTGATTTCTCTGATGCCTCTTCCTCCCTTGACAGTCTTACCTTCTTTCAAAAAATAAAAATCCTTCTCCTCTGTAGCTTTATAGTAATATCCATTACCGACTCATAGCCACTGTGTGCAAAGCCTTTTCCCCTCCTGTGTGGAACAATCCTGTGATAGTGGTCTTTTCTGACTCCGTAAAGTAGCCCGGTGTATCCCAGAAGTTGATGGACTCAGCTCCCATTAGCCCAGCCAGCATGGTCAATGGTCAGGAATAAGAACATAAGAAGAGTGGTCCTTGTCATCCAACACTCTGTTCTCACTGTGTTTAACTAGATGCCAGTGGGAATCCCAGTAGCAGGACCTGAGTATAAGTACGCTGTCCCTTGGAAAGGATGACGTGTGTTGTTGTCCAACAAGATCTGGAGGGCACTAGAAGGTGGATTAGAAGAACACTAATCCAGGAGTTTATTTAGTTTGTTCAGGAAGCTCTACTCACTAGTACAGTCCAGAATACATCATCTGAAATTCCTATTATCCAGACCAGCCTTTCTCAGCCTTGGGTCCCCAGCTGTTCTTGAACTTCAACTCTCATCATCCCTGACCCCTGGCCATTCCACTACAATAGGAGTTGTAGTGCATGTTGAGAAAGGCTGACCCGGACTGCTCCTCTCTTTATAACTTTTTCAATAGTTGGAGAATTTTAAAGGTTTTGGGTTGCTGTTTTGCTGTGTTTTCACTTCACATAGGCACAGCATCTCCAAGGCTTGTAAATGTAGGGTTGATGGAGCTGCCACATAATTTTCTTACTCTGTAGTCAGAGGAGGTTGGAATAGAATGTATTATTTCACTTTCTCTTAAGAACATTAGGGAGCTGTGTGTGTATGTGTTGCAATTAAAGCATTTAAAGAATACACATATTTCTCTTTGCAAAGCTACACTCTTTTTTCCCCATCTCTCTTACTTTTAGAATTTCACTATTAAAAGATGGAGGCCTCCGAATAGCTAATGTGAGTAAATCAGATGCTGGAAGTTATACTTGCCTGGCAGAGAACCAGTTTGGAAAAGCTAGTAGTTCAACTAGCTTATTAGTTACAGGTAATTAGATAGCTAATTGTCTATCAGTAGCAAATTGTATGAACTGAGAAATTTGTGAAACAGACATTCCAGTTTTGAATTTTCAGTTTACTTTCAATTAGTACTGCATGTACAATTCATGTGAAATATGTAATCAGTGCTCTTGCTAAGCTCATAGGAAAATGGTTTTATATATTAGACTGTTTATATTGAATGCCCTATCTTTCAGAGTTTTTTATATGGTGACATTTCAGCTTTTTCTATGAAACTTTCTGATAGTCTCCATGGACAGCCATATGAAATCTCTGTTTCCTTAATCTTAGTCTATACTTGACCATGCATTTGTGGAGAGGGAACAGGTTTACCGTTTTGAAATGGAACTCATTTTTGCTTTAAAAATATATATGACAATTCCATTACAAAAAAAAGCAGGAAAATTGGGTTTGTGTCAAGGACAGTACTGGAGATTTTAAATGCTTTTTTTCATAATACATAAAAAAGTGCATTCCATATCCTCTGGTTGTCATTCTGCTCAGTCCTCAATCCTTAGGTTTTTATTTCTGCGGTATGTTTATGCCTATATTTTTTCACAGTGCATTCTTGTTTCAAAGGCAGATTTTGCACAGTTTCCGGTTTCATCGTATTTCCTCTCTACTTCTGAGATGTTTTCTAACATTCCTGAAAGATGCTTGATTGGAGTTTGGAAAATCTTTGAGGCAGGGAAACTGTACTTAAGTCTTTGACTTAAGTGTGTGTGTGTTGTATACAAAATTATACTTAAAAAAACAACAACAACTATGCAGGAAAGTAGAACAGTAATTCAGAGAGCTGAAACTGACTCTTCCTGTTCTCCACAGAACCAACGCGGATAACCCTGGCACCTTCAAACATGGATGTTTCAGTAGGGGAAAGTGTTATCTTGCCCTGTCAAGTTCAGCACGATCCACTGCTGGACATTAGTTTTACATGGTATTTTAACAGCGCATTGACTGACTTCAGAAAAGATGCATCTCATTTTGAGAGAGTAGGTGGGGTAAGTTGTAAAGTATTTATTTATCTTCTGGTTGTTATCGTTAACTATAATGGTCATCTGGAAAGGGCAAAAAATGATTTTACTAAACTTAGTACATTTGTAGCTTTTTAATGACAAAAACAATACATAACCATTAAACTGCTAATGATAGTGTGGGGTTTGCTGCATATTATTAATGGATTCGACGGTAGAGGAATTTCTGCAAAATAAATCTCACCTTTTTATTAGTTGTAGAAATGTACTTACAAGTGGATTGAATTTACATATTCTCTTTTGCAATAGCCCATCCATTTTGCCAGGATATTATTTTGCTCCACTCATTTATATACCCTTTTTTGGGTTTGAACATAACACCTCCCGTCCCTGGAAGATATAGCTGCTCCTGTTACGTCTAGGATGACTCCTACCATAAAAACCTTCTTGTAGTTTATGATCTGCTTTGGCATCTCTGCCACAAAGGTCCGGTTTTCATGTCACAGTAAACCAGAGTTTGGCTTGTCATGATTTCCTGAATGTTCTGCCTCCTTAATAGTTGCTCACACCCACTATGTTCCTCTCCAAGTTTTTAGATTAGCCCAGGACCACAGCTAAGGGATCATAGTTAAGATATCTTCTTAATCACAACCTATAACCTTGGGACAATCCTTGACTACAAATCACGTTTGAGGAAGAGAGACCTTAAACCACAATCCTGGGTTAAGATGGCACAGTAAGTGGCCTAAAAATGCCTGAGAAGGTGCAATCTCCTCCTTGGGAACCAGCACATTTGTGCCAAGCCATGGCTTAGCATGACAAGTAAATGCAGCCAAAGTGAGGCTAATTGCAGAGAACGTTTGGCAGGGGCTTTGCCAGTGATATACCAGCTGTGGAACTCCCTCCCTAGGAAGGTTAGAGTGGCTTCTTCTTTAGTTTTAGGCAAGCTATTAAAACTTACTTGTTCTTTGTAGCTTTTAATTCTGCCCTTTCTCTTTACATGTGCATTTTTCTTGTTCCTAATCTGTTCCTCCTAATATTGCTTTAAATTACAGTTTTTGAATTGTGTGTTGTTTGGCTGGTGTGCTTTTGGATCAAAATGCAAATTTATAAATAATTTTATGAATAAATAAGAGAGTCCAAGTACCCATGGAATTGTGCGCTGTATTCCCCTATAAAGTTTAAGGCTAAATTGGACCTGACATGAATCACATGATTGTGTCTCTCCCCCCCCCTTTCCTAAACATTATGCTTTTTTCTGCTTTTCTTTTGCTACATTCAGCTGGAGGGGGGGCAATCCAAATTGGGGCACTGGGAAAAGGAGCAGGGAGATTCAAACTTTCTAGCCACACTTTTACAACTTATTTGCAGAAACAAAAAAACAAAAAATGGACTCGTTGGCAGGATTTAAATAAACATTTACAATTTTATTTACAGAGAACAAGAAATATAGCAGGTGATAACACAGTATTATGTACAAACAGCAGAATGCAACATTTGATGTAATAAACCAGAAGTTGGGGGAAGTCACAGGGAGGGGGGAAATTGGAAAATGAATGTTAAGTAATGATATTGGATATTTGTTATCAGAAAAGAAAATAAATAAAAATTGTTTTTAAAAAATAAAAATAAACTTTCTGGCAACACTGTGGCACCAACGGTAGCCTCACTCCCAGGTAAAACAGCAGTCAAGAATGAACTCTCCTCTTGTTATAATGAAACTATTGTTTTTCCTTTTTTTTCCAAATGAAAAAGACTAAAATTATAATGAGGTTATATCTAATTATAAGACTGGATTGTGATAAAATGCAATGTTGGTACTATACAGCTTTATTCCACTAATTGCTAATGGCAGGAATCCAAAGCACGGCATGTAGTGTTCCACATACGTGCGTGGGCCAACTTTTTTCACTTCCAGTCTGCCAGCAGTCAATTCCCTCCCACCTCTTTTAAAACAAACAAACAAAGCAGAGGTTTTGGAAACCTCTCCAGCACAGCACCTCTTGAGGCCTTGAAGAACTGGGAGGCGGGGAGGGGCAGGGAAATCACATTACCATCATACATAACTTAGACCATTTCAAACAAAACCTGGCCTCTTTTCAGGTGGCCGGGTGTCCTACCCCAGTGTTAAGCATCGTTCGTTAGAATTGTTTTATTCAGCTTTTATTTTAAAGGGTGACGTCTTAACGATTAGCTGACAGGGGCTGAGACAGAGAGTGTTCTTTCAGAATGAGACACAGCCTATTGTCTCCTGCCTAGTTAAACTTCTCACCCTGGTTTCTAGCACCTGAGATGCAGTACCCATTTTCTGCAACTAGTAAGTACTGCAGGTCTTTTCAAGCCAAAAGAAGAAGTCTTGGGATCAGCTTGTGTGACCGCATCCTATTACGCTAGGCTTTCAGTTCTAGCCAGTGCTGCCTCCTTGACTTTTAGAACTGCGTTGCTTGAGAGCAGGGTAGCTTTTCAGAGCACGTATGCCATGAAGCTGTTGAGGGAAAGAGGGCTGGAATTTCAAAGAGAGAGAAGCTACTGAGAGGCTTGGACGCTTAGACATAAAGACAGATCAAGTGATCGCTGCTTGACATGTGGCAGAAACTTAGCAAGTTGAACATGTTATCCCAGCTTCTAAGCCCCACTGTATTTCAACTTCCACACCACCTCTGAAATAAAGATATAGGAAAGTGAATGGGTTGCACTTATGGGCCCACAGGGTCTAACAAACCCTGCGCAAGGACTTTCGCTTGCACAACAGGACTTTGCACACACACACGCACCCTCTGAAATTGACTCTGGGGGAGTCAAGCGAACCCCAAGAACGGGGGGAAAGGGAAGGGGGGTCATTTCACCTAGCAAGCTGCAATGCTTGTGCAAACAGAATGATTGGTAGAGAGTGACGTTGAATTCCACTCCACAGTAGACCTGGGCGATATATCAGTATGTCACCCAGGACAGCTTTGATGGGCAGACCACAATGACAGCTTCACTCAGCAGTATATCGCTGGTGAAACTGCTGCTGCTTCTGAGTCCTCTTTCCTTCAGCACACTGGGCACTGGAGGAAAAGAATCTGCCGGTGCTGGAGGCAGAAGGACTCAAGCAGTGGCGGTTTCACCAGCGATATACCGCTGAGTGAAACCGCCACCATGGTCTGCCCCTCATACAGCTTGTTCCTCTACTGCTTTAAACTGCTTGGCTGAGGAGCACGCCACTGCCCTTGTCTCAGCCAAGCAGTTTTATGGAGCCTCCAACCCACCATCAGTTTGCACAAGCCAACTGTGCAGGGGGCTCTGCTACAAGTGCTCCCGCTTCCCAGCTGAGGGAGCCCGAATCCAGCTCCTGCTTGCACGGGAGCAGAAGCTCGATCGGGTCTGCTCAGCTGGGGGGGGGGTGCAGGCTCTGTCACACTTTTCCATTGAGGGGTTCCCGGCTGCCTTCCCCTCAATGGAGAAGTTTAAAGGAGCACCGCCTGGCAAGGCTGAGGCAGCCTGGCAGCTGCATCAGAAGCGGTACAGGAGCTCTCAGATGCAGCTGCTGGGCTGCTTCCACCTTCCCCGACCCCAGCCTCTGTTCCGTCTGGCTGCCTTCAGGTGGCACAGGGGCTCTGAGCAGCCCCGATCCTGCTCCTACTTGCATACAAGCAGGAGCGGGGTCAGGGATCTGAGCTGGGAAGCATAGGCTTCATGCTTCCCAGCTGAGCAGCCCCGATCCCGCTCCTACTTGCATGCATTGTCCCCAGCCCGCCAGATGCTGGGCTGAAAGCGCCTCAGGTCCCGCCGTGAGAGCTGAGGCAGTTTCTCCCAGTGCCTTGTCAGCTTGTTTCAACATTGCAGTTTATCACCAAACCGCGATGTTTTGCTGGTGATGCATCACGATGTTGAAAACCTAACATCGCACAGCCCTACTCTAGAGCTTTATTCCTTTAGATGTCTGCTCTGGAACATTTGTAACTAGTTAAATCCAGTCCAATTTATGCACAGGTGTACTTCCTTCCCAAAGTGAGGTGAGCTACACAGGGCCCTCGGACGCTTCACCGTCTATTGATCCCTGTGCCACCACTTTATTTCTCGCTGCCACCACCCAGGCCCTACCTGGTACAATACTGAGTCCAGTCAGGGTTAAATTGGTACATAAACGTTTGTTTATTTATTGCAGTTTAACAAGCGTGTGGTTTCATAAACAGTATCAGTCAATTACATTCATGGGGTGCCTATCCAGACCTATAACTTCCACTACCTGCTTTCACTCACTAAACCACCACTCAGATATTTACTTGTCTTCCTAGCCCCTAACTGTTCCTGACCCAGCTTATTTCACTACACGAACTCAACCTACCCACAAACTCTATCCCAATTCACTCCCATTCCAACCAACCTCCCAATGAACTCCTTCCTTTGCCCCTCCCAGAGCTGGTTTTATAGTCTCTCTGACTCCACCCCCTGGGTCCTGATTGGGCAACCTGTTTAATTATTTCACCTCCAGCACTCTAATAATAATAATAATAATAATAATAATAATAATAATAATAATTTCTACCCCGCCCATCTGGCTGAGTTTCCCCAGCCACTCTGGGCGGCTCCCAATCAAGTGTTAAAAACAGTACAGCGTTAAATATTTAAAACTTCCCTGAACAGGACTGCCTCTCATATGTTAACGTCACAAGCTCATCTCTTTAAAAGCAGGGGATTAAAATTAGAAGTTTTGCCCAGATTTCTCCAGTACTGTGGGAGTGAACTACAGATGGTCTTTGATAGCGTATGCTAATTGAGGTGACACTTCTTCAGAAAAGCACACACGAGACAGGCTAGAGAGCACACACGCATGCAGGCAGGTATGTATAGTCCTTAAATATTACATTTTGCCTGGTGTGTAGTAAGCTAGTCTCCACCACCACCACCACCCCAGATGTCCAAGCAAGTAAGGATTAAACAAAAATTGCCTTACCATTCTCTTGACGGATGATGCACACAGCTTCTGAACTGTCAACATGCTGCCTGTATGCCACTGAAGATATTACTGTGTCAGAAAGCCTAATATCAGCTGAAACTGGGTAGACATCAGTATTAGAAATGGTTACAGTGTGGTTACTGGTTTTAATACCACCCAGACTGCTGGTGATTTCTGTTTCAAGAGTCAGCGTAGTGCCGGTCAGGGAAGGTGAACTTCCTGTCATTGTGACTTGACCACAGCAACACATATCTAATTTCACGGGCTGAAGATGTGAATGAAATCTCTCCAACTGCCAGAATTCCAAGAAACATTGACAGCTTGAGAGCATGTTGCTGCACCATTTTTGTAGTGCTTTCATGATACCCAATACTGAGTTACACAAAATGCTAAGGCTTTGGTAGCGCATCCTTGGTGATACGGTGAATGATTAATATTGGAACTCAACTTTCACTCTCTCTCTTGCCAACATGATATTGTTCACTGTGATTAGATACAGCATTGTTTTGTCTATTCAAACTTGTCATCGGAGAGGTGCACAAGCTTATATATATATATATGGTTTGACAATCCCACAGGCAAATTTATACTTAGTGCAAGATTTATTTCAGCAAATAAATTACCACACTGGAAAGGGTGAATGTGGGTGTCTTAGCCTTGAGGGTTGCTTTACACTGTCAGTTCTCACTGTTGTGTGAATTTATATGTTGTGCTCTCTGGAAGAATTTTGTGCCGCAGTTTTTCACACCAAACATCACACTCTTTCCCATTAATTGTATACAACACTTTTTAAAGATATTCCAGCTTGTATTAAACATAGAAATAGTTAATCATTACCAGGTACTTAAGTTTTCAATTAAGCTAGTCACTTCAAAAAACTGGCAAGGAGAATATTACATTTGTTTTAAGACACTTTCTTTTAGATAAGACGTGACTTTGTATTTTTGGAAAGCAAAGGCCACTGAAAATAATTTAATCAAAAGATTAAAGTGCTGCTGATTGAGATCATAAGGGAAACAGAAGGAAAATAAAGCATCTAAACCATATCTAGGGAACTTTTTTGAGCCTGAGGATTGTGTTTCCTGATTGCCAGTGTTCCAAGGTCCTTATGTAAGTGGTGAGTGGGGCCAAAAAGTTGACAAGGTGCGCGCATGAACATGCATGCATGCACACCACCCATGAATGCAGCACACATAGTGTGCACACACCACACCAAAATGCAAAATCTTTCCTGCAATACAAAGAAGAACAATAATTAACATTCCCTCTTTCCATCGGTTTATAAAAACTCTCTTACCCAACCATCCCACCACAAACGAGAAATCTCCATCCAAAAAAGACCCAATAAACTCTTTGCAACAAAGTCAGCATTTCTTTTTCTTATGAACATGGCTTCGTGCTTAAGAAGCTCTCAGTGGGCCGTCCTGTTATCTTCTCTGTCTCTCTCTTAACGGAATTGATTTTTGGCTCTTATGCACTGCTGTTTTTGTAGTCTTAGAAAAGAAAATGCTTGCCTAACTCCTGTCCTCTGTTTAGTTGTTATTCTTCGTTTCTTTCATTATTTATTGTTGGTGTTATAGATTGTGAACAATCAAAATAAATTACTGGTGGTTTCCTGTAGAAGCATACATGCACAGTGTGAGATGATTTTATTTGACAGAAACACACAAGTGTCTATCTGACACTGATGCATTGTTAAGGGTCATACAAAGTGTGATGTCTTGAAGTGTGAAGTCACAGTAGACATCTGTGCTTCAGGAAGATAAAGTTTTGCAAGTTTGAAAAATGAGACACACAGAGAGAGAACCACTTGTCAGCCTTCTGTCATTGGAACTGGAATTTGTAATGCTTCTAAGAGCTGCTCTCTTTTTAAGGAGATCCTCATTACAAACATCTCTGGATAGAACAATGAGTACTCGAGTCATTTGCCTTCTTTTTTTATAAGGTCAATTTTATATTTGCTGCACACCTGTCTACCCAATTTGGGGCTGGATGCTAGTTTCAGCTAGTAATTGGGGGCATAGATAATATCAGAGTCAGATGGCAGGCAGAAGGTTAAATTGCTCAGGCTAAAGAGAAGAAGCAAAGACCTGGGATAATAAGAGACCCATTATCCCCATGGATAACTTGGCTGGTTATGTAGTTAACAAGGCTCAGCCTGCGCATGACAGGTGTCAGGTGTTTTGTGCCCATAGTACATGGTGGCACCCGGCAGCAGAGGCCTGGCCTTCCGTACCTACTCCTCTGTCTTTTGCCTTACTTGCACAGGCAGAAAAAGGCCAGAGTTTGGCTACCGGGACTCCCAATTCAAAGTCCCATGGTATCCTTAGACAGATTTTCTTCCACTAAAATGAAAGTTTCTCCCTTTACATCTAGGACCCTTTGACCCTTACTTAGAATCCAATCTGGGGTTGGAGCTGTTTTGTTATATACTTGCTTTTAGCATCTTACATTTGTACTTGACATTTTTATTTATTATTTGTACTATTAACTTTCTATACTGCCCTTCATTTGAGGATCACAGGGCAGTTCACCACAAAATACAAATACAAAATGAGAACACAAAATACACAATAAAACAAAAACAAACCAATAACACCCCTCCCACAAACACATTTAAAAGGCCATAGAATGTTAAACAGCCAAAGGCCTGGTTGAAGAGGAACGTTTCCACCTAGCGCCTAAAGGTGTGGAATGAAGGGGCCAGGCGAGCATCCCTGGGGAGAGCATTCCACAAGCGGGGAGCCATAGCAGAAAAGCCCCATTGTTGTGTTGCTGCCCTCTGGACCTTTCGTGGAGGAGGCACATGAAGAAGAGCTTCAGATGATGATTGCAGGGTCCAGATCAGTTCATAAAGGAAGTCAGGTCACAGCCACAATCCCAGTTCTTTTATTCATCTAAACTTAAAGGGCACCTTTTTATTATTCCCCTCCAGCTTTCTCAGAATTCCCCAGGGAAGCAAATCTAGCTACTGAAAATAATTTCATCTTCCTCTGTCATATTCTGTTCTGTCTCTGTTGTGCATGCACACGCTAGTGCACACTAGACAGACTGCATTCCATGCAAGCAATTATTTATAGAAGTGTTACTTCAAAGCTAGTTTCTTCCTCTTGGGGACAGGTTGCAGCTCAGTGCGTACAGCACATGCTGTCATGCAAAAGGTTGCAGGTTCAGCTCCTGACATTTTCAGTTAGGGCTGAGATGGGCTCCTGCATGAAATTCTGGTGAGCTGCTGCCAGTCTCGTGTCAACAGTAGTGAGCTAGATGGACTAATGATCTGACTCAGCACCAGGCAGCTTCCTCTCTTCCTCTCTTTACCTGAAAAAAACAAATGATGTTGAACCAAGAACAAGCAAGCTAACTGAATATAAATTTTAAATATATCTATTTATCTGAACAGAGTGCATCGGGAGACTTGATGATTAGGAATATCCAATTGAAACACAGTGGAAAATACGTGTGCATGGTGAAGACAGAAGTGGATAGTGTGTCATCTGCAGCAGATCTCATAGTTCGAGGTATGAGCAATGCTACTTACTTACCTAGGCTTACCTAGGTACTTACCTAGGTACTTACCTAGTAAACACCTCTTAGGGTGTTTCCAGATTGAGTCTGAGAGTTCTGTTGTTGTATCTAAAATGTCAGACACAGCCTTGCAAACCTCAAGAAACTGTTCCTTTTTGCCATGTTGATTTCCTGCTGGTTCAATATGTACATTGAGATCTATCAGGACCAGCAGTAGTGACAGAAAGAGAGAGACTGTATGTTGGAACTCTGGTTGATGTCCCTGTCAGAGAGTGCTAAATTAGTGGTGGTAGGAGATAGTTTCTGAATGTTTCTTTCTAGCTTCCCATAGGTTTCTGAGATGTTCCTCCTACTTCCTGAGATCTGAGGAAATGAACAGTACACAATACACATATTCAGTTTATATGTGCAGTGCAGACACAGCAACTTATTGCTATTGAAAGCCCAATTGCTACTTAGTCTCTAGCAATGAATCAGGGAAGTTCCTAAAATTATATATTTTGACAACCATCCAGGATTCTCTCTTTTTTATATATAGATTACAAGCTGTATACTTGTATTTTAAACATAGGACGTGATTTAACTAAGTTGTTTTGTGTATGGAATGAGGCCTACTCCTGCAATAAATCTCCTGGAGGCTTGTGGGGGGGGACTCAGCACAGGTTTAGGGGGCACAAGGGATAGGAGGAAGGTATTACTGTGCAAGTATACATCAATTCACAAACGAATACTAATTTGAATGAAATTTGTCTTTATGTGTTAAAGTGAATGTGACAATCTTCATCCGTGGCTACACTATTTTACTTCAAAATAACATTGTATTGGCTCTTACTTGATGTTCTCTGTGTGTGTTTTTATTTTAATATGTATTTCAGAAGAAGAAGAAGAAGACAGTAGTATATTTTGTAAACTGAAGAAAATCCTTATTTCCAGAAATGCTTAAGAAAGCTTTCAGGGTTAAATTGCTGTCCAGGGTGCTGATGCAGTTTTGTGCAGGGGAGAAATGACTACCAAGTGAACGTCATGGCAAAAACTGCTTTAGATAACAAATTGTCAAACCAAAAAGATGTATTAGCAGATTAAGGCAGGACATCAAGGACTAAAGTAAAAGACGCTGATTTGAAAAGGTAGTGAAAAGTTGCTGAATAAAGGTCCCCGGAAGAATACATCATCTGCTCTCTGCTTGTGAAACTGCTGTTTCAGAACTTGCTTTTACAACTATAAAATAACCAAGCAGGAGTTTAGTAAATGTAAAAAATGGCAGTTTTATTGCAATCTAAATTGTTTTCTTCCCCCCACAGTGCTGGCAAAATAGAAATCAGCTGGCACTGTGTTTAAAGATTTGTAGAATAAGTGCTGCCTTCATAACACCTTTCCAATTTAAAAATCTAATATCTTATTGCATTAGGCTCACCTGGACCACCGGAACGTGTAAAAGTGGATGAAATAACAGCTACCACAGCCCGGCTTACTTGGCATGAGGGCTTAGATAATCACAGCCCAATCGCTAGTTATACAATACAGGCCAGGACACCCTTTTCAGTGGGATGGCAAAGAGTCACAACAGGTAGAGGGAAATATTTTTGAAGTGTTTATGAAGACTACATTTTAATATTTTATTGTTATGGAGGAAACCAGGAATTTGCAATTTCTTTCAAAATACTCTGTTACAGTTCCTGATGTCATTGATGGGAAGACGTTCACAGCCACCGCAGTAGACTTAAACCCTTGGGTTGAATATGAATTCCGTATAGTTGCCAGTAACAAAATTGGAGGTGGAGAACCTAGTTTACCCTCAGAAAAAGTAAGAACTGAAGAGGCAGGTTAGTGGGTTTTTTGTTTGTTTGCTTGGTTCAATTGATACAAGTTCAGTGCAGCAGGTTTTCAAACCTTTACATTTTTAAAAAACTTTTGTAAAATTATTTGATTTTTTTCCTGTTTTTATGCAGTTCAAGAGATGAGTGCTTGGCACTCAGTGACTAACCAGATTTATAATACACAAGTGTTTGTGTGCTCAGACAACTTTTACATGAAGTTACATATTAATGCATATACTGAAAATCTTTCCCTTGTACAAAATGATGAACTAGAGAAGCCAAATTGTAACAGTGGGGTGCTTGCTGCAGTCCTGAATTCTGTTCCATCCAGCGTAAAAAGTGTCACCTATCTGTTCTGCTAGAAGTTGTTGCCATAGCACTGCTTGACAGAATGGCTTTTGCTGGCATGTCTAATGCTTTGCTTTTGGCACCACTGAACATTCTTAGGTGAGGCATAGCAAAGCGCATATACTGTGGACCCTCACATCCTAAGATAAGGAAAACCAATTTCAGTCACCACAGGTTGGAGATTACTGGAGAAGGTCACTAAATAGTGGTGTTTGATGTGCAGCCCTGGAATATTTTAGGTAAAGGCGAGAAATAAGCCTACACAGGAATAAGAAAATTATTCCACAGTATTGCGGCTTTGCCATTGATGTTTAGAAAGTGGAAAAATTGTGAATACAAGTGAAGATCAGAGTATTCTTTGCAGTAGTCAAAACAACTTGTTTATATAGTTTTAAAAAATGGTAGAGAATAAAGTAGGTTTGTGTGAGTATTGAACAGGAGCACTCAGATAGAAATTGCTTAACGGTTGTTTTTTCTTCTTCTGAGACTCCCACGCTGACAAGGTGACTGCAACCTTTATGTAATGCTTGCACATGCTTCACGGGGTTCCTTTCCTCTTTGTAATACATACATATATTTTCTCTCCTTAGAATGTGATTGTGCAGTTTAATCAGCAGAGCACTGAAAAGCAGGATGTCATAATTCTACTATGATAAGAATTCAGAATGGCCTTCTTAATCTTTGTGCAGCTTTTTTTAAATTATTGAGCATAAATGTAACATAGAAACCAGCTCTGTCTGTCTTTGAGCTACAAGAATTCAAGCACTACCTGGGAGAAATCTGCCAGTCAAGCAATACTCATAGAACATACTCAGCACTTTGTAGACTTTGTCTGAAGAAGGGTTCCCTTCTTTCAGGAGACTTAGTAAGGTTAAAAAAAAAACTTAATTCACCTCTGAATATTAAGAATGGTTATTCCCACTAATAATGAATTTTGACTCTTGAACACTCATTCAGGTGACTCCAAAATAAGATAGTGGCTTTTAGATAAGTTGGAGACTCCCTATGAACACAGAAACATATAAGTACAAACTTATGGCATCTGTCTGTCTCGAGTGACAATGGAGTGTGTCTCCAGGGGTGAAGTCAAATTGCTGTGTTAGCAGCACCAAAGTGACCTCCCCAGGGTGGAAGCCTAGGAGGGCAGAGAAAGAGAGGAATTGACCTGCTTGAGCCCTCAACATTATAGTAAATATCCTGGAGAGGGAGAATTGGGGCCCAGAGAGATACATGTCATGAGATAAAAGAACCCCTCTTTCTTCACTATGCAGGGATCTGAATAAATTTCTGTGTCATGATATAGAACTGATACAGTTTCACCTCTGAATTTCTGGGACCATTCAATTAATGCGCCTTCTATTATATTCATGTGCAGCTAATGTGTGTTTTCCCTGTACAGTGCCTGAGGTACCACCATCTGAAGTGAGTGGAGGAGGCGGCAGCAGGTCTGAACTGGTCATCACATGGGATGTAAGTGTTCTGCTTGGAATTTATTTCCCAAAAGTTGCCTTTTTTATTATCTACTCAGTTAAAAATTACCCAATAACTGACATAAACGTTCATTTATCTGATACAGCTGACTTGTTCTGTCGTCTTAATATGTATGCTTTTCCTGGTCTCTTTCCAGAATATTATCAGAGCAATATTTAGCTAAGCTTATTATTATAATAATCTCATAGGTTTTCAGAGTTAACACAAAAATTAAAACAGCTACTTGGATACTGAAGGTACCTCTTCTCATCAACTTTATGTCCCCAACAAATAGCATATGTTTTCCGAGTTTTGGTCTGAGATTTCCTGTAAGATTATTTGACACATAAACAAAATCACACGGATTTATCCCAGTCTGGCTGAGGCCATCTAAAAAATACTCCAGTAGGAGAAACCTGTAGATTGAAAGGGTGCGAAGGCCTGCCATTACTTCCCTTAGTGGTATATCCCTTTGATGACAGTGATAACATTGGAAATAGGCTTCTTAAGTCAACGCTCTGTAAAATCCTGGATGTATTTGCCTTTATAGAGCCAACTTCCAACCTTCCAAGCCTCCACATAGTGGAAACCCAAACATGCTGTCTCTTACTAAGATTGTCATCCTAAAACTAGTTAGGAATTGCTGTCAAACTGAATGGGACTTGCATCTGAGTAAACACACTTCAAAATTTGTTCATTTAGGGCTAATGAATGCACCAGTCCTTGGTCTCTTTAGGGATAAAGCTTATTGTATTTCTGTTGTGGCTTTGTTTTATGTTTCATTCATTCCTATTCCCCAGGTTACAATCTTCATTCAGTTAGTGCTCCTTTCTTCCCTTTATAGTTTCTTTTTTCTAATTCCCACCTTTGTTCCTTTTCCTATTCTCTTCCTTGTAAATGTAATAATCTCTCTTTTGCCATCCATCAGGCTGACTCCCCTCTATCTTTCAAACCCTTTTCAAGCAAGACACTTTCTTACTGTACCTAGCGGATGTTATCGCTTCTCTCCCTTTGTTGGTTTCCTGTGTCATCTTTCTTTTGCACTGCACATGTGTTTATTAGATTATAATATTAACTTTCTGTGTAGTTGATTATTATGCTTTTTGTGTTACTGGTTTGGATAGGGAATGGGACCTGATCTGTTTTATATTCTGCGTGGCTCTTAATTAATCATCTGTGCTTAATAAATGACTGACAATGATAACTCGGCTTAATGCTGTATGGAATTTATGCCACTGAATACTGGGGCTGAACTGAATGTCCTCTCTGTGAAACATTTAGTGATTAAAAAAACTTGCTAAATCAAGCAATAGGCACGCTTTGTAAAAACCCAGAATGTTGCTGGAAATGGCACTATGAGATCGTGCTGCAGTATTTCCATTGTACAGGGGAAGAATGAGGTGCCCCTAATGGTAAGTCGGGTCTGCAGACTTCCTTGGGATATACTGCTAAATACATGTGCTAGCACATGCGTTCCTAATGTGCCCTTGGGTTTCTTAAATTGGATCCCATTGCCCCTTTGGCTAATTTAAAACCTCAGGAGTCAAGCTTCTCTTCCTCATAACATTGATTAGACAAACGAGACATCAAATAATTATTTTACTAGATTTTTTATGTTTACATAGCTTGAATTTTTTGTTGTTATTTTAGTATTTTCTTCATTTACAATTTTTTGGCTTAGCCCGTTCCTGAAGAATTACAAAATGGTGAAGGATTTGGCTATGTCGTAGCTTTCCGACCTCTTGGAGTTACAACCTGGATACAGACAGTTGTCACATCACCTGACACACCCAGATACGTCTTCAGAAACGAAAGCATCTTGCCCTTTTCGCCATATGAAGTCAAGGTTGGTGTGTATAATAATAAAGGAGAAGGACCATTTAGCCCCGTGACCACAGTGTATTCTGCTGAAGAAGGTGGGTTTTTGAATCATCTCTTACATACCTGTCGTTATTTCCCATGTCAATGAGTGAAATATAAATATTTGCTTTGCTAGTATCTGTGAAGCCATGTTAATTAGTTGGCCAGTGAGTTCGTTAAGTTTATTTGTTTTTCCTGATTCCCCTTCTACCCTGGGTTTTCTTATTGTTTTTGTTTCCTAATGCAGAACCCACCATAGCACCTTCTGGTGTATCTGCAAACAGCCTCTCATCTTCTGTAATTGAAGTCTCCTGGGTTTCCATTCCTTGGAAAATGAGTAGTGGAAGATTGCTGGGCTATGAGGTAAAAATAAAACCCTGTGAAAATGTTCCTTTTCCTAGAAGCTAACATGACTGTGATAAGGTGTTTGGTTTTCTTTTACTTTCAAATCATTATTCAGTTGCCTGTTGGAAGCCAAAGCTTGCTGTTAAAATCAGCTGCTCAGTCTTTGCTTCTTTATGGAAAAATGAGTCATTCAAACATCTGGTGATGTACTTTTTTCTCTCCCCCAAATTTTGGAAGGGAAGTTGCTAAACAGGCCTGCTGTTTGAAACTAGAAAGGGAGCTTTCTGCTCCTGAATCTAGGCGAACACATGGCATAGTCACAAATAATCTGTTCTGGGGAAGAGTATAAAAGCCAAATGTAACTATTCCCACTTTTTGTATGTGTAAAACTTGAGCTTTGCCTTATTTCCTGGCCTCATGCCAGATCAATTACTGCAAGCTCACTAAAACTGCATTGAGAATGGAAATCAGTTGGCAGCCAGCTCTGCTTTTGCTATCTGTATATGCCTGCTTGGTATCTACAGCATCTCTTGCTGTTTCTCCAGCAAAGATAAGCACCGTACCCAGTTTCCATTAATAAAAACCCAGTTGCATTTAAATACCCATGGTTGTGTTCCTTTCTGCTTTGGGAAAGGTAGTAAAATTGCTTGTGCACGATGACTTTATGTAAACTGGTGTTTAAGCTGACTACAAAACAAGCCAGGCACAAAATTCGATACTGACATTTGCAATACTTAATAGCAATAGTGCTGTGTGCCCATGTAATGGTAGAGAGCTGCTGAGTAACTGCAACGTCTACGAAAATAGAGCTGTTTCTCTGGGTTTTAAACAAAAACATTGGGGGGGGGTTCCCTTTCAGTACTGTGCTATTTCCCATAATAGTCTGAAAGTAAAATTGCATTCAGACAATGGACCTGCTAAGCAATAGGTGATAAATAGCTATATCAGAGTAAGCAGCAAGGTCAACAATATGTTCTAAGTAGCTTACTTTTTGTACCCTTTAGGTGAGGTACTGGAATAACGGTGGAAAAGAACAGTCTTCCAACAGAATAAAAGCCATTGGAAATGAGACATCAGTAAGAATAACAGACCTGATGAGCAACCTTGTGTACTATACAGCTGTTCGAGCATACAACAGTGCAGGAGCAGGTCCTTTCAGTGCCACTGTCAATGCTACCACAAAAAAAACACGTAGGTATCATCACTAGGGGCAGGAGGGGAAAATGCCACAATGGGGTTCCTTTTCTTGCAAGGAAAACAAAATAAACTTTTAATAATGCTACCATAAACTCTAGTTACAGATAGGTAGCCGTGTTGGTCTGCCATAGTCAAAACAAAAAAAATTCCTTCCAGTAGCACCTTAAAGACCAACTAAGTTAGTTCTTGGTATGAGCTTTCGTGTGCATGCACACTTCTTCAGATACACAGATACCGTGTATCTGAAGAAGTGTGCATGCACACGAAAGCTCATACCAAGAACTAATTTAGTTGGTCTTTAAGGTGCTACTGGAAGGAATTTTTTTTTTGTTTTTACCATAAACTCTGTGATGCTTTGGAAGCATGCTTGCTAACCAAAGAAGTTTCAATAATAGACCTTTTATCTATTTTTGGTGTCTTCTGGGAAGACAATAACACAACTCGTACATAATGGGAAACAGTGCTTGGGCTGTTTTCAGATATAGGCAGGCAACTAGGCTTCAATATACTTAAACCAAAGCATTCTCTGTGCACCTGAAACAACATTCCTGTTATACTGATAATCTGGCGGCAACCAATTTGTTGCTCAATAACTTAAACCTTTGGGATTTTAGAGGTACATATCAGTCATGTATCGTTGGAGTTTGGTTCTGATTCCTTTAGGAAGAGGGAAGTCTTTCAAGCTGTGAACCCTGTCACTGCTGAAGAATATGCATAGCTGTGTGTGTGTGTGTGTGTGTGTGTGTGTGTGCGCGTGCACAGACACACACACACATCCAACAGTGAAGGATACTGTTTCACAGACTAGTGGGCATGTATACAATTCTGATGTGGGTGATATGCATAGTATATTTGGATTTGCACCTGCTGCATTCTTCCAGCTTTGGACAGGTAAGAGCACGGAGGTTGTTGTTATTACTATTACCTGCTACTATTACTACTATTGTTAGCATAATTGGAACTCTCGGGGGAGCGTTCCTATTACTTGCCTTCAATATAGTGGCAATGTTGTGGTACATATTGAAACATAGGTGTATCTTACTGTTGCTACGTGAAATGCAGGATTCTCCTTGAACTGTTGCCTCTTGATTTGACTAGAAATGGGCAAATGGCCCACATATGGTACTCGGAGTATCTCAGAAATAAACCACTTTGTCCTCCAATATATCAAAAGCAAATTGGCTCCTTTCCCAAGGCTCTTGAAAAATGAAGGCATCTCTCCCCCCCCCACCGCCCCGCCATGCCAAAAGCACTCCCACCTAATGAGCATCTAGTGCTGCTCTCACTGCCACTCAACTTCAACATAAATTTGTATAAAGTATAACTCAGATGGATTATATTATTCCTCTAGGTGTTAAGATGAAGGTTAGAATTAGCATCAAAATCTATAGTTTAGAAATCTGAAATACCTCCCCTCCCTGGTGGTCAGAGGACTCTACTCCCTAGTGGTCATTTATTTTTTAATTTTATTTATTTGAAGGTTTATAAACTGCCTTGCAGCCAAAAGATACCAAAGCAGTGTTCAGTAAAATAAAGTAGGATAAAATATAAAAGAGAATGGTGTACAAACTTAGTAAATTGATTGTCTAATTTTAGCTGCCTACACACACACTCAATACACACACTGTGATCATGTGCAGATTTTAAAGTTGCTGCCTGGTGATTGACAGATTGGCAGGTCGTCCATATGCAGAACTTCCAGGGGACTGGGGTGGGGAGGTCATGGGAGAGGGAAGTCACCAATTTGCCTTTTAAAACTTGGTTTTACTGCTGGCAGATCAGGTAGAGCCCAGTACAGAGTATCAGTTCTTCAGAACTACTTAGGTGTTCCCACAGATATGCCGGTAAATTTCACTTTGTGTCATCATTTCAGGAATTTAGCCTTATTAGAATTCTTGGGGGCGGGGGGAAGCTAACCAATCCAGTTTAATTTCTGACGCTCTCAGATTCAGCATGAGTTTCAGCATTCTCATCACAGTCTATTATTGCACAGTGGGTCCGTAATAATTGAGGCTCTCCTAATTGCAACTTTCTGATGTGATGTGGAGAGATGGAAATGTGTATTTCAATATAGATTTGGGAACCAGTGAAGAGGCTCGTAGAAATTAAGCAAGGAGAAACTAGTAATGACCCCTGCGGCTGAACACGGCTATTCAGGTTATGATGTTACAATTCCGTAGTAATTGAAAAAGTAAAATCATTTTCAATGACCTTTGTCTTTTTAATTATAATCCTAATGTAAGATTGAAAACTGCCTATTTATCTTATAAAGGTTGAAGCAAGTCAAGGGCACATGCTACAGAGTTGATTGTTATCTCTCTCCGCCCCTGCTCATCCCTGCAGTAGGCACTGTGGAAAATGGAAGCTCCCCTTTCATGCTTCTTCCCCTTCCTTAAAAAAATTTTGAATGCTAAGGTTGAAAAACACTTCCATGCAGGACTCTTAATAATAATAATAATTAATTATTAATCATTAATTAATTAATTAATAGCCCTTGTTGTGGTCATAATTAATTAATTAATTAAGACCACGACAAGGGACTGATGTCCATATCCCCCACTTTCAGATCACCCTCACTCTGCTCAGCCAAGAAACAAGGTCCAGAATGTTGGCCTGCCCTATGCAATCTACAGGTCTGCAATCACAAATGGGGCAGAGCCACTGGCCTAGCTCCCCAGCAGGTTGGTCACTTGTGTTTATTGGGGAGGTGTGGGGCAGTGGGAAGCCATGCTTCCACCAGTATTACTACACCATGCTGGCTTTCCCACCGTCTCACCCATCTCCCTTCCAGTAAGCAACAGCCACCACCCACCTAGCGGGAAATTAGTGCAGTGAGCCACTTCTGTCTACAGTTCGCAGCTTGAGCAACCAATGCACATTTCCCCAGAAGAACATTACGTATAACAAACCACAACATAGATCATTAGCATGCTTTGAAATCAATGCCGCAACAGCCAGGCTCAGCCATTTATCACTTTAGCGGATACTAATATAATTATCCTGCAGTTTTAGGAGATAGTGATTTGTTACAGAAGCTCTGTGGCTCAAAACCCGGATAGGAACGAGCCGAAAATAGTGGTGGTGTGTGTTTGTTTTTCTGAACAGTTTAGGCAGTATCTAAAAAGCAGCCCCACCCTTAAATATTTTTGTTGCATGGAGTGCATTCAGCTATTGTTGAGTTGTTAACCTCTCTCAATTGACTTTGTTTGCCCTCAGTTTACATAAGCTCACAGACCAACCTGATTGGCTGCACAACATTCTGTTGGAAATGTTTGCTACGTGATCAGCAATCACATAACTGAATAATGCAAGGAGATGAAAGAAGCCTAATAAAGTCTAATTAAAGGAAGGCTAATAAAAATGCTGCCAAAGCAGCAGCCAACAGAGAACAATGACACGAAACAGCGATGTCTAAATTTCCTGGAAACTGAAATGTTCAATACATCTCTAAACAGAGGTTAAAATGTTGGTTGAAATTTCAAAATTGGGCTAATAGGACCGTTTATGCTTTATTTGTGTGAGTGCGCACACTAACTTTAAACAGTTAGAAACACATTCAAGTTCACCATCTCTTGACTGAATTAAGCAGTTCTCATTACTACCCAGAATGACAGCTTAATAAATAACAGTTTGTTTTTCTTTGACTTTGAATTTACTTTTCATTTTATTTTCTTAAAACTAACAGTTGCACTTTGAAAAGCACCCCCATTGCAAATTCCACCTAAACAATGTTCTGTCATGGTATGATTGAGTCTTTAAAATGGTCTCTCTTATTTGTCGCAATTTGTAGGGTTCCTTTACTAATCACTTAAGAAAGAACAGAAAGGAGTACAGCGAGAATGAGACCTCCGTGTATAGGGCGGTGTAGAAGTTGAATGAATGAATGAATGAATGAATAAACAGATCCCCCACCAATGAAGTACGTGTAACAACAACAAAACAAAAAACAACAAAAAGTTGCAGCGTTTTTTGCTGACACTTCTCTTTGAGGATATTTAATGGAAGGTCCAAAGTCATTTTAAAACATAATAATATTTACATGCCTCTCCATATTTTAAGAAATGAATCTAGAGTACAAATGAGATGGCTCTTTGTGAAAGCGCTCCTACATCTAACATGTCATGACAGTCAATTTACCTGGCTTGGTATTTGCTCGCACATAATAAATCTCTAATGCCAAGTAAATTAAAATCATGTTTTCATTATGCATTTCAAGCACCCAGCCAGCCTCCAGGAAACGTTGTGTGGAACGTTACTGACTCCAGGGTCATGCTGAATTGGGAGCAGGTGCATGCAATGGAAAATGAGTCAGAAGTCATTGGTTATAAGGTAAGTAACCAGCGAGACTGCAGTGATACCGTTCAGAATGCTTGCTTAGAAACAGGCTGTTTGTATCAGTGCTGGGAAATACTCCTTTTCCACTGATTATCTTTTTTTATAAAAAAACAACAACACCAAAAGCCTCCTGTAATATAAAATGTAGGGCTAAACGAAAATGTGTCAGTAACCAGGACTTAATATCTCCACAACCTCAGTTCTTAGGAAACTTGTATAGGATTTGGCTGCTTCATTTATTTATTTTCTTACATTTATATTCCATCTTCCTTCCTTCATGGAGCCCAAGGTGGTATGCAGTTGGTCTCCCATCCAGGCACTGACCAGACTCAGACCTCCTTAGCTCCAGCAAGCTGATGGTCTTATGTGCCTTCAGACCATACATGTAATTTTGGGAGTCATTGCTAAAATACAGTACCAGTTTGTATGGGTGTCTTATTTCCCTTCGGATTCCCGTACCTCCTTTTAAATTTTTACGTTTGTCCCCTCTTTGAGCCAAGTACAACCTATGATCTTTTCCTTTCTCAGTACACTGCACACACTCAGTACGGTGTATGAAACCACATAGAGTAGTACCAGCAAGTCACTTGCTTGTGGCCTCAGAGCAATTGTCATTTCTAAGCAGGGATAATTTTTTTATGCATTTCACCAGTCTAACACCCAGCACTCTGCCTGTTATACTACATCATGGGTAGGCAAACTAAGGCCTGGGGTCTGGATCTAACCCAATCGCCTTCTCAATCCAGCCCATGCACGGTCCAGGAATCGGCATGTTTTTACAAGAGTAGAATTTGCCCTTTTATTTTAAATGCATCTCTGGGTTATTTGTGGGGCCTGCCTGGTGTTTTTACATGAGTAGAATGTGTGCTTTTATTTAAAATGCATCTCCGGGTTATTTGTGGGGCATAGGAATTCGTTCATTTATTTATTTTTTTCAAAATATAGTCCGGCCCCCCACAAGGTCTGTGGGACAGTGGACCGGCCCCCTGCTGAAAAAGTTTGCTGACCCCTGTATTGCATCAGTTCTTTGGCAGTGTCAAATGCTCCTGCACACATTCATCGGTATCTTCACAGCAGGCTCCCTTTCGAATGCTCTAATTAGCAATTGAATTAGGCCTAGAACAGGGAAAACAACCACTTAAAATGTTTTCCTTTGTTTAAAGAGCCGTACAATTTTGTGCAGAAAATCCCAGGCATTCGCACTTCTGGCTGAAAAAAAAAAAGATTTGGAAAGGACATCATTGTGTGTTCCATTAGTTGCACAGGTCATTATGGACTATATGCCTAAGATTTTCTGCACTAGCCCTTAAATTATACAGTTTATCATGCTTGATGCCTTGCAGCCATATGGGTTTGCTCCATTCATGGTAATTAATTCTGCAACAGATTGGGAACACGCAAAGCCCAGAAGAGTAACCATTGCACAAAATTTTCACACAACTTCATACCTTTCTCTCTATAGCCTATCTTACCCCGATCCCAGTTTCTGATTTAGTATCAGAGTGGAGAATTACCCATGGAGTAAGCAATCTGGAAAGAACCAGTGTGCGCAGGTGTCTTTCTCTAACTATTAATAACACTGATTATATTGTTTTTGAGTATTCCAAATTCATTGGAGGTGACATGTGGTTTAGGTTAGCTTTCAGCTTTTGCTTTGTCAGCACAATTTTTTTTAAAAAAGAGAGAAAGTGGGGGGAAGAATTTTCACTAAAATCTGAACTTCTGTATCTCATGAATGGCCTTAGAAATCCCAATTGCCAAAATCACTTATTTGTTAATTGCATCTTGCTGTGAGGTTTATTGCAGTGGAATGCAGATGTTGTTATAACTGCATGAATTTAATTTTTAAAAAAAAAAAAAACCAGCAAGAAATATTCAGTTTAATTCCAAGGTAGAATAATGACTTACTACATACAAACTTTCTCTCCACATAGCCCATAATTCTTCACTTTCTTGTGTGCTTGACACTCCAGTATCCTGACCCTATTTATTGCTTTGAGTCATTGATCAAGCTAATGGCAAGCACCAAATAGAGTAATAATTTATAGACGACCCCATTACTGAGAAACTCAATAGAATATATTATGTATTCGTTGTTGTATACTCTTGCATTCTAGATCAAAGCTGGGATAAAGGTACTTGACTGATGCTGTATACTTTCAGTGCCTTGGAAGAGATTAGGTAGAATTCCGTAGTGTGCTATGCCTCCCCCTTCTTCTTGTGTGTCCCCCCCCTTCCACCTTAAAATGACATTAAATGTATCATGTTAGATGAAATAACATCCCTAAAATTACCAGCTTTCTTTTCCATATTTCAGATTTTATATCGGACTAGCAGTCAAAACGAGCTCAGTGTCCTTATGACAAACAGAACATCTGCAGAACTTCTGCTCCCTTTAAATGATGACTACATTATAGAAGTGAAAGCAGTGACTGATGGTGGAGATGGCATTAGCAGCGAACAGATTAAAATTCCTAAACTAGCAAGTATGTTTACTAGATGCTGATGAATGGAGTTTCATCATAAGTAGGACATTATGGTTTATCTTTAAAGACTGAGAGTTGATGTGAGATATGAATTTTATTTAGTGGAAGAAACTAATTTAACCCTTTGTCATGAAATTGCTTCAAAGCAAGGTCACATTCACATCATACTATTGAAGCACTATGATGCCACGTTAAACCGTCATTAGTAAAGGTAAAAGAACCGCTGACCATTAGGTCCAGACATGGCTGACTCTGGGGTTGCGGTGCTCGTCTCGCTTTATTGGCCAAGGGAGCCGGCGTACAGCTTCCGGGTCATGTGGCCAGCATGACTAAGCCGCTTCTGGCAAACCAGAGCAGCGCACGGAAACGCCGTTTACCTTCCCGCCAGAGCGGTACCTATTTATCTACTTGCACTTTGACGTGCTTTCAAACTGCTAGGTTGGCAGGAGCAACGGGAGCTCACCCTGTCGCGGGAATTCGAACCGCCGACCTTCTGATCGGCAAATCCTAGGCTCTGTGGTTTAACCCACAGCGCCGTCCGCGTCTCTTAAACCGTCATTACTTTCCCCAAATAAGTATGGGAGCTGCAGTTTCTTAAGGCTGCTGAGAGCTGTTAGGGGACGCCTATTCCCCTCACACATATCCAGCTTCCAGAGTTCCCTGGGAAAGGATTGATTGTCAAACCACTCTGAGAATTGTTATTATACAATGGAATCTTGTAAATATAGGCTTAGATTTCAGTTTCATTTCACTTTCAATTTGTATCCTGCCTTTCTATATATACAAGGCAGTTTACAAGCTGAAGACACCACAAAATATGCAACAAAGATTACACATAGTCAAAAAAAATTCCTTCCAGTAGCACCTTAAAGACCAACTAAGTTAGTTCTTGGTATGAGCTTTCGTGTGCATGCACACTTCTTCAGATACTAAACTAAAAGATTACACATGTTAAACTCAGAATTATGGGTGAAGAGGCACATAATTTGGTGAAGTCAGTATCTTGGAGGGAAGCAGATGACATGGACTACGGAGGCCCACTAGATTTAAATTGAGACTAGTGAAAAAATAGGAACAACACAGGCCTATCCTATCAGCAAACTGAAGGCATTGGACCATGTGAACAGCACGGAAAAATTATAGATGATATTGGTGCTGGTGGTTTATAATCTGCTGTACCCCAGCAGAGAAATACAGGTAAATCTCAGTTGCAATCCATTTAACTTGAACTCTGCAAAAAGTTGTTGGGCAGTGCTGTTTTCGAAATTGAGTTTATATTGATTAATAAAAGGGTGGGGTAGGGGATTTATGCACTACATTAATGTTATGAAAAAGAACCCAATTAAAATTCTTCATGTTCCTATGCATGACAAATTGCATTCAGTTGAGCTAGTAAATTACCATGTAAATTAGACAGCGGTATGTTTAGGAGAATCAGTTTTTAATTTTTCAGTCTGTTTTTCAGAACTGGAGATAGCTGAATAAATACTCCAAATATTAATTTGTTTCAATTGTTTTTAAAGTATATACAATATATCACTTCTCAATTGTTTGTCTAAGATCAAGGGTAATGACTCTATACAATAGCTGGACAGCATAACGTCATTCAGGGGAAATGTAAAGCTATTTCTTAATAGCTCCTGGGAACTAATGGAACATTGTCCTTACAATGGTCTATGGGAACTAGTCCATTGCAAATGAAGCTTACCAGTCAGTGGTCCCAATAGAACAAATGGCTCTACAATCTCAGAAGACCCATCTTTTTATATGTTCCTTCACACCTCAGCTGCTTCCAAGCCAACCTAGAAACATGTTTCGGATTCTGTCTATATGGGTGCTCTCAGCAGTTACAAACATGCAGTTGATTGCATTTTCTAGAGGATTTGGTGCTACTTTACAAGACATAAATATCTATTATGATTTTATTTATTTTAAATAGTTCTAAACCAGCCTTCAGCAAGCAGATTTCATGCTGGTGTGCAATAAACATGCCATGTCACATAGTCCCATACCAATGTGAGAAAATGTCAGTAAGGGAAAATGCAAATAGGTACCTGGCCTACCTGAAAGAAAGGCTCATTGAATTCCATCGGTTTTACTACTAAGTAGACATGCAGTGCATTGCACTGTAAATGCATAAAGCTTTGGCATATGGAAAGGCACTTCTGAAGATGAGCAGTTGGGGAGATTTCTATGATGTAAAGCAGTAAGCACTAGTGAGAGCCAAAAGAAACGGTTGTATTTTTGGGGATGGGGATTAAGAACATGCATATTTTGCTTTCCAACTAATCATATATTTTCCCATTTGTTGTAGGTATGGATGCAAGAGGTTCTGGGGCAGCAGTCTTAAATGGCCTATCCAGCTGTATATCAATAACACTATGCTTTATCTTTAAAGTGGTATTGTGTTGATGCATTTTCACAGATAGGTGAAGGCCAGGTGAATAATTTACTTTAAAAGTGCTTTTTAAAACAACAATAGCAACAACTACAAATGGTGGTTATGCATGGATCTGCTACCATTGATTTTAAACACTTTCTATGAATTTCATTCAAAAAATAAAATAAAGAGCAAACCATATACATATTAAACAGTTCCTTCTAAAGGAATATAAAATGCCTTAAAATGTAATGAACCAAAGGACTTTACACATTACATGCTTCGGAAATGACAAAAATAAGAGGATGCACATTGCAAAACAAAAAAGATGCGAGAGTTCCATTTTCCAAGCAACTCGGAATTATTTTAATGTAAATTGCAACAAAATCATACACATACACACAGATGGAAGATAAAACAAATCCGTATTTCAGCAGTATCTGATGGGAAACTTTGAGTTATTTTCTAAAGCCTCACAATGGTGAATGGTAACTGGATAACTATCATTCTGGTCTTTTGTTTTATGTCCTTTTTTTCTTACTAATTAAACACCACAAATATCTAAAAAGGTAAAGGTACCCCTGCCCGTACGGGCCAGTCTTGACAGACTCTAGGGTTGTGCGCCCATCTCACTCTTAGGCCGGGGGCCAGCACTGTCCGAAGACACTTCCGGGTCACGTGGCCAGCGTGACAAGCTGCATCTGGCGAGCCAGCGCAGCACACGGAAACGCCGTTTACCTTCCCGCCAGTAAGCGGTCCCTATTTATCTACTTGCACCCGGGGGTGCTTTCGAACTGCTAGGTTTGCAGGCGCTGGGCCGAGCAACAGGAGCGCACCCCGCCGCGGGGATTCGAACCGCCAACCTTTCGATCGGCAAGCCCTAGGCGCTGAGGCTTTTACCCACAGCGCCACCTGCGTCCCCCATTTAAAGTCCCCCTTGCCCCCATTTTTTTTGTACCATCTACATGAATGTTCAACTGCTTGTTCTTATTTTGTTTTTTAAAAATAGATTTAAACAGTCAAGTTCTTTATGGTTTTTAAGCTTTTTTTCAATCGTAAAAAAGAGGAAACTTTCTTCTAGATGCTGCACTGAGAATTTTGTTTTTGAAGGATTGTATGTCTGTACAGCATCACATAAGAAGTGCCTCCTAGATTGGGCCAATGGGCCCATCTAGCTGAGCATCCTGTCCTCACAGAGGCCAACCAGATTCCCATGGGAAGCCCAAAATCAAGACCCTAGCACAAGAGCACCCTCCCCACTTGTGATGCCCAGCAACTGGAATCACAATTTGAGTATCAAGAGGCCCGGGGGCTTATTTTCACCCTGGAGCACTTAATGGTCCTTGGCCTTTTCTACCAGTCTGCATTAGTGCAGCACAGAGTGCTCCTCTTTGAAATTACGAATCATCAGTTTTAGCTTAGCATCATAAAAGTACAACGATCAAACCTCCTAGTGTAGGGGCTGCTAGAATGTTCTGGAATGTCAGGTATTACTTGGATTCCAGTCTTTTCACCCAGCAAGTATTACTGCCAAGAGAGGAGCGTTCGCCACAGAAAGACACGGCAAATAAAATATTGCCACTAGCCCTTAATACGGACCTACTTCCGATTTCTATTCAGCTAAAAGTTGGTAGCTCTAATATTGTTCAGCCATGCAACAATTACAGCATCTTGACCCTAACTGAGAAGCCTTCTGTCGCATGAGTTTAGACTTTTCCTAATATGTTCAATACACTATAAGATATCATTACATAGCTTCCTTTAAGATAGGCTTCCTTATTCTTTCTTTGTAACCTATAACTCCTCCCATTCCTTATATTTTGACATTCTTCTCTATACATCATATTTATCATTGTATTTTTTTAAAATAAAATAAAATAAATAAACACAGATGAAGTGCCCAGAGTAGAACATCACACTTTTTGGTGCAATGCACCAGAGCCTTATAGCCAGGGAATATTATCGCCCTAAATTATTTGTGGTGTATCTGAATATGCAGCCCTAAATCTGTTGCCCTTCTATATACCACTGCTACATTTTGTGTCCCGTTCATTGGATGCTCTTTGAATATTGGTCCTGCTGCAATTTATCCACTTTTTAGAACGATCCTGGATGATAACAGCTTCACTGCCATTTTCTTATTTATCAGCAGAGACTTTTGTCAGTATCATTAACTGGACTGTTTTAAATCAACATTTTCATAGCAATGGGTATATATATAGAGAGAGAAATCTATTCTTGGTACATTTGAATGACTACAGTTTCAATGTTTACACAATTTTCATCTCAAAATTTCTTTTCCACACTTACTCCTGACAGGTGTCAGCCATAGAACAATTCAGATATCACTCTAAATTTTATTATGCATTCGGATAATATATCACCATACAGCCCAAACTTTAAAACACACTCTTTTTCCCAGTGTCTTGGGAAAATCTGTATATATTGTACATAGTAAAAGAACATAAATAGTTACTTGCTCTTCAACATGGCAAACTACTGATGCTTCCAAACACTTTCCGATAGGTGGGAACAAACTCCTTTTTTGTGTAATTCATACTCATGCAATGAGAGGTGAATCTGTCATTCTTGCTATAAGAAAGTTATACATCATGTTCCTGTATTGCCATTGTCACGACCATCCTCTTGAATTTAAATCCTTGCTCTATTGTCTCTATGAGATGTGTGCAGAGTATTTTGTTTCATATTGAAAAGTTTTATCAATTTCCCCTTCAACTCCTAGCTGTGTGTGTATATCCTATGGTTATCTGTATGTATTTTTTTTATTCTAATAAAATATTTATAACATTGAAAAATGCCTGTGTTACATCCTGTTGCTATAGAATCACAGACATTTCGTATTAACATTGCAGGCATGTACAGGTCTGTTCCTTATGCTCATAAGAATAGCCTGGCAAATGATACGTCTCTCCTTTTCTGTCCATAAATGAGTTAAGCTGGAGTGTTTTGATTTAAGCCAGTGGTTTTTAAACTGCATTTCCAAGAATTGAGACAATTCCTGAATAGCAGCCTCCCCAACACTCCTGGTCTTCAGTCAAATAGAACATAGCGCTTTTAAAATTTAATTTATTTAATTTTCAAAAGTTTAACATATGTGCTCTAATACATAGTTTTTTCTTTTGTCAATTTCCCATCCTGTTTTCCATGATGCTTTTTATTCCCCCCCCCCTTTGCTGTACTCTATCTTCTATCCCTTATACCATAACAACAAAATAATAATCTCTAATTCCTTCTGTTGCTCATAGTTTAAATCCTGCTTGCGCGTTCATCATAGTATAGTATTTATTTAAGCAATCCAAAAAAAGCTTGTATTCTTCCATAAAACATTCATCATTAGGTCCTCTTATTTTGGCTGTTAACTTTGCCAATTTCACATAGTCCATCACCTTGCTTATCCATTCTTCTTTGTTGAGAACCAAATGGAACATATCTTGTCAATGTTGAAACAACTGGCTACTGCACATTCCAAGGTGCTGGTTTTGCCCATAAGGCCCTAAATAGTTTGGGATCCAGCCATTTCCTCCTGCATGAACTTTCCTCAAACACCTCCCACTGTCTGAAATAAGGTGGGTGATACTTGTGGAAAGGGCCCTTCCCTATTGTAGCACCCTGACTGGGGAACACGCCCAGGTAAGCTTATCTGGCACTGATTCTGGTGTTGTCTTTGTGCCATTTTAATGCAAATTCTTGGATCTTTTGAAAAAGTCTTATTTGTTTTGATGGCTGATGCTATTTTAAAACGATCGATATATTTATGCCTTTATGAAAGCGTTAAAGAATACTGCAGTCCGCTGGTATATTCTGGGCTCGGTTGCCTGATGACACCCAACAGACCTGGCCAGGGTCCTACAGAAACCAGTTTATACGCACTGGAACATGAACCCAAAGTAAAACATTTTAAGCCAAGAAATTAGGCTGTCTAAACAGTATCTAAATTAGGATGTCACTACTGATGAGGCTGGCAACACAATCCTATACATGTTCACTCAGTTGTAAGTTCCATTGAGCTCAATGGGGGTTACTGTCAAGTAAATGGGTTTGGATTCCCACCTAAATCGCTTTACATGTTGAGTATTTGGGGCTAATTTGTGGATTGGGGAACTGCACAAGGATCCTTTCTTTCCTTCTAAAAGCCATCTTGCAGTCTAGCACTCTTAATATGAACATTGCCTACTGTAAAGTAGAAAGAAAGAGTGCCCCCACTTTGTTTTCCTGCTTATTTCCAACTAATGGCCTGTTTCAGTATTCTTCTTACAAATATAATGATTTTCAGCATATGAGGAAAGAGAAAACAAATTGGCCTTTTCTTTCCTTCCTCATTGCTCTTCACCTTATACTTGACTCGTTGAAACAGCGAGATCCCTTCCTTTGCTGCGTCCCTCTAATCATCGCAAAACATGTCCATGCACAGAAGCCAGACCCACATTATCAAGCCAAACACGAGGGAAACGAAATCCATTTTTGGCTTTTCTGCCTTGTTATAGAATGGGTTTGGGAGTCACTGGGCAATGTTACTAAGAAACAGCACATCCTTCATGTGTTGCCAGTTGCTACCAAGCCCAGCATTTAGTCCAATGAAAGAGCCAATTAGAACAAACTGCAGTTACATGACCTTTACATGAGTATTGTGATGCCGAGCCAAGCGCTGGAAGACAAACAAAGTGTTAAGTTCAACATCCATTGACAAGGTGGCATGATAGGAAATTTAACAGCAAACTGGGTGCCAGGTTCTGAAGGACTGAAGATAGGAACCTTTGGAATGAGACAGGACCCTACGCTTAAGTATCTGCCTATGATTTGCATTTGTTGCAACAGGACTTACACAGTAGAAATCAACACTCTACAATTACAGGTAAATAGATGCTGGTTGAAAACAGGCCCAGTTCAGATGCACTGTTACTGGTTCTTTAAACCATGGTTTGTGAAACTGTGAATACGCATTAAGCCCACACATTTCTCCCTCAGTGCAGAGGTCTTTGTTTGACTAGTTAAACAGATGAGCTGGGATTCAAAACATGAAGGGGTAGATGTAAGCCTTAAGGGACTGTAGCTCCACTTCTAAGGGCTGGTTCAGACATGCAGCATGACTGTATCATTAGGTCATGACTTGTACATGTAAATGACACATCGCAAATTGGGGGCAGGGCGGGAATACCAAGGCAACATTGCTTACATAATACTTTTCTAGTGGTGCAGCAATAAAACTGTTAGCACGTTTGCAAAACTAAGCAGGGTCCAGTATGGTTTCAAATTGGATGGGAGACCATGTGTTGAGTTTTGATTACCCTCATGGTCCCTTCCAGCTCAGGGATTCTATGATTCTTCAAGCATTCTATATAAGTTTGTGGTCTCACTGTCATGCAGACTCTCATAAGAAGCCCTTTTGGCTGAAACATGATGGGCTACTAATAAATACCCCCATAGTCCTTCGTTTTGGTAGCTATTTCCTGGAGGGGTTTTGTGTTTGTGTGTTCTAGATTTGTGATAGGCCAGTTACATGCACAAGTTGTGACCTCATAATACACAAGCTGACGTTTTACTGCAATTGGAACTTGCATGTCATCCACTGTTGAGTAATCAACGGTTGCATCCAACTAAACCCTACACAAAGTTGAA